ATTATATTATTTTAAGTCCTAGTGTTCCATGAATCATTTAATGCAGTTCTAGATCTAATAATATCTTAACCACCTTGCCCATGTCTGACACCTGTGTGGTTTTACATGTTTGGTGTTAGCAGTAAAGCTGGAATAAGAAGGGTTTTTCTCCTTTGAAGGAGTGGGAAAATAGAGAAGCCATATGGTTCAAAAAGCCTAATGAAGTTTTGTGCTTTCCAGAGCACAAACAAAACAGCTCCATCAATTTGATCTCCGTCATCAAAACTGACATGCAGTTGGTTTTAAAACACTGCCTCCTTCTCAAAAACCAACAAGGGATTGATTTTCTCTCAACCAAAAGTATTTTCACCAAGACGAACACGAGCATCTGGTCATTGCATTAAATGTCTGGGTCCTTTGAAAGAGCAAGTCAGTGATACCTTGTGTTTACTTGCAGAGCTTGACAAGAAAGACACAAGGGGAACATTTGTTTCCAGGGGAAACTGCTCCAGTGAAAAGCAATCGGTTTGAAACGCTACATGAACACAACTGTACCACTAGAGACAGGGGACGTAAGTAATCCATCAAAAACGGTCTGAGCAACAAGAATGCACAAGGGCACACTGGGAGACAAGGAAAGAAGGTGCAAAATAGCATAAAGAAGTACTGGGTTCAGCCAGTATTTACAAGGATGCGTGGAAATGAATGATACTTCAGCCCATATGTCTGACAAAGATTTAGGTTAAAGTTACCCTTTTCTTGGCACTTGGGGATCAATATTTGTTTGCATAGGGCTCAATCTCACACCCACAGAGACCAGTGGGAGTTTGCCATTTCCTTCCATAGATGCCTGATGAGGCTCTAAATAACTAGTGTTTCTGCCCAGGGCTTTTCAGTGCCAAATATAATTAATACTATTGTTCTTAACACAATTATATTTGATAATCCAATTTCCCTGAGCACTGAATTGGAGTTTTTGTCCCAATCTTTCCTGAATTCTAGTCCAACATTTACCCTGTGCCTCCTGGCTTTTTATTTTCATTTGCTTCTGTTGTGCTACCAAGAATAGGCAGAAGCCCTCCACCTTCCCTCACAGAAGCATCTCTTTCCAGATGAGATATTTACTTTCTGGTCCGTTTCTTATACTGGCTGTGCAGCAAAGTGCATTTTCCAAGAATCACCCTGTTATCAGGTGATAATCCTCCATCAAGCAGCACCAAGTGTCTGCTACATGCCCTGAGCCCACAGCAGTTCCCCCTCCTGCTGCAAACAAGAAAAAGGAGAAATAAAACAAAACCAGGCCAAGAGCCAACCAGTAGGCAGCTGGAAATTGCCCTAAACTCAGTTCTCATTCCCACCATCTCAGAGAAACAGAACTTTGTAGACCAAATGCTTGGGATGCTGATCAGGCAAAAGGTGAGCAAGATATCTGATCTCACCCCCTGCTCTGCAACCCTCCCTTGGCTGCCTCAACATCCTCTAACACACTGAGTTTCACCCAGCTCTTTTCCTTCTCCCAGTCAAGCACCAAAGAGCACATTTCTGTGGCAGCCCCTGCAGAGGAATCTCTGATTACTTAGAGAAATGTCTCTGGGAGTCTTTGGGAATGCTCAGCCCAGCAAGTGGCCCCACAAATCTCATTGCTGGGCCAAGCAAGCCTTTTGAAAATGGTCAAAAGCATTGCCAATGAACCCAGGACCACTGAGACAGCATCAGAAGCTTTTTTAATCCTGCCTCCACCAAGAAGATTTCTCAGGAGCCGAGCATCCCTGGGTTACATGCCAGCTCAGAGCTTTGTTTCAATCCAGATATTATTATTCCTGAAGACTCCATGCTTTACAACAGCTCAGCACATGGACCTCCCCGCTGTGTGTTTTCATATGGGTGCTCCAACATTTGTTTTGAGAGCTATCCTGTTCCAACAGCAAACATAAAGATCAGTGTGACCTCTCCTTATCACACAGCCTTTCCTGTGTGGAATTCATTGTGATCTGGACCCCAGTGGCTATTGCATCATTTCTGTTTATGTGTAACCTTTGGCGCTCTGCAATCTTATCTGCCTGCAGCCGGCTGCAGCAGAAGATGCGCAGCAGCACAGCCAGCTCTGGCAATCCTCAAACACTGGAAGGGGCCAGCTAAGAGTGGAGGTCAGTGAATGATTAGCAGAGCAAACCTGCAAGCACCGACAGCTACATGGAAATCAGCTCTCTCCCTGTGTCCCCAGAGGAGGGGAGGCCTGGCTCTGCCCAGCCCGACTCACCGATGACGATGAGGGTGTAGTTGACGTTGGTGCTGCCGAAGCCGTTGGTGGCTTTGCAGATGTAGGTCCCCGCATCCTCGCTCTCCACCTCCTTGATTTTCAGCCCTTGCTGGAGGATTCGGAACCTCGTCCAGCCGCTGTGGATGGTCCGTCCGTCCTTCATCCACATGGTGAGGGGCGGGGGGTCGCCTTCCACCGGGCACAGGAGCTTGATGGTCCTGCCCAGCCTCACGGACTGGCGGTGAATCACTTTATCAGCGATCCTTGGGGGGCCTAGGAAAGAGCAGAGACAGGAACAGCTGTTACGACTTTTGCCAGTGACACAGCACTGATTCAAAGCCGAGTCATCAATCCGGCCACTACACTGACTGCTGTACAGAATAGAAGGTGCTTACCAAAAATCACTTACAACCAAGACTGAAAATGTCAGCAGTTACAGAAGGACAGAGCAAGACCTGAAGCTGTAGCTTTGCAGCTCATGCTAACCCACCAGGGAAGACTGGTTCTGAGGCTCTATTGCTTTTCCAAAATTTCCAGCATTTTCTTGTCACAAGAAGGAGCCCAACACACAAACTTTCCTGGTGTATTTGGTAAAGAAACTGTAGTTGTTTTAAACTTAACACCTATCCTGAAGACAAAATCAGTAACAGGAGTGGTACTTACAACAAAACACTGCCCCACACCCCCCAAATGTTTTAATTCTTTCATGTTGTATGTACAGTAATTCCCTCTAATAGTCACCAGATGGGCTTTATCTGAGACACATAATCCTGCAGTTGTTGAACACAGAACATTCATTGGGTAGTGCTTCAACAAAAGCACAGCTTTGCCTGACATGTTAACATTGCTTATAGTACAAAAGAGGATATTTTTTATAAATTTCCTTAGCAACCCTGATGGTTTGACCCACTTGACAAATATTTGCTCTTTGTAAAAGGTGATAATTTCATACAAAAGAGAGTGTCCCTGGAATGTCTGACTAAAAACACTGTTTGCCACATGATAACAGGATGCACTTGGACAGGCCAACAATCAGAAAAAAGAAGTGATAAAGGCTCCAACAGTGGGAATGCTCCCATAGCTGAATTCCAACTGAAATTCCTTCCCAAGGCTCTGAAAAGTTGAGAGAATTTTTCCTGCATCTGCCTTTTCTGCCTTTTCATTAATTGCACAAGTTCTCTACACAGATTGCAATAGCAGTGCTCTTCCCAGAATAGTCTATTAATGGGCGTGCTAATAAGTGCCCTGTTCTTGCACAAGGGCAAAATGTTTTGCTAAAGATTGCTGATGCTGAGTTGCACCCAAAACCCACAAGATGTTTGTGGGATTTGGAACCGTTCCCTCATATTTTACTCCTGTTCCTAATGTTTTGCAGGATTGGACCCACAGGGGATAAACTACAGAGCTTCATATTTGCACTTCCTCATGACTAATTCTTATTATTCCAAAGTCTGCTTGATTTTTCCTCAGCATGACTGAGGCAGCACATACAGTCCAGCTCCTGAATGACTCCAGAGCTGCTGTTGCAGTTACTCATGTTGAATTGCAACCATGAATTTTGCAGCTTTCCTGGTGAAAAGAAATGCTGCTCAAGCTGAGAAAAGAGTGGTGAACTAGCTTGAAATTTATTAGTCTAACTAAGAGGCTTGTTAAATCAATGGTCTTAGACACACTCAGATTCTGATGAACTCTTAATGACCCAAAGTAAGGACTTTGAGAGCACTTATTCTGAAAAAGTCAGAGATAACAAATATAACAAAGAAGGCAAAGATAACACCCACCCCTTCACATCTTCGCAGTCACCTGTGGGAGATCTTGGAGGTGGTGGTATCCTCCAATACTCTAAGGGAACTGGCAAAACACCATGAGAAATCCTGCCTGTCCAGGTGTTTCTAAAAATTCCAAACCGCCCTTAGGTTCTTCACCTGTGAAATTTCCAACCTTCTCCATGGATGGAAAGATAACCCCGAGACCTTTGGAATGCTGGTCTGACACAAATTGCATTGCTGAATATTTTAAAGTAAAAATCCACCCACGAAGAGGGCCATGTGTGTTGCCTTTGATAAGGCAGAATTCACAAACACTGGGTGAGAATCTGCCCCCACATTCTGCTACATTTCCCTACATGGAGCCCTCACTCAGTGCAAAGGAGCAGAAATGCCCAGACAAGTCCACAGACTTGTTGAAATTCTGGGCTGGCCCTTGGAGAGGTTCTTTCTGACTCAGAGCCCTATCAAACCAAGTCAAACTTTAAGAGCAGTTTCACTGCAACCTGCCTGTGAGCCAGGACACTCCTTCATGCATATTCAAATGACAAAAACAGATCTATAATTAGTACTGGGGAAAAAAAATGTTTGGTGCAGGGCAAGCAGGGACAGTGGAGAGAGGAGCACTCTCCTCCCAGCTTGGAAGCCTGCTGTAGGCTCCTTCAAAATCCCTTTCCTTCCGACATTCATGGTGACTCCTGATGAATTTTGAGACCTGGAGGAATCAGATAGTTTCCCACTCACGTCATGTGCTTCTCCGGGGCAGCCTGCACAAGCGGGGCTCCTGATGGCACCAGAGTTGCCTCTGGACCTGTCACATGTTTTTGGGTCAGTGGTAAGCTTGGTCCTCCTAAATGCCATTTTCCTTTGACTGACCTTTCATTCTGAGGAATTGTTGGATCAGTCCCTGTCACAGGATCTATCCGCAGACCTTTATGACATTTAGAAAAGGGTGCATTTCTTAGAGCCATTCTGCCTAAAAACATTACTGCAGCTCTTCATTAGCTCCTCCAGCAGCTTTCTCAGGAACAGGAATAAAACCCTCCCCTCACTCTTTTTTCCTGCTGTGAATTTTGCCAGACACAGCCATGAACTTCTCGGTAACGTACAGCTCTAGGACAAAGATGATAAGGCCTTGTTTCTGTAAGTATTTCCATTTTATTACCTCTCATCTTTGCATTAATAATGTTCTGCTCAAGCAATACTCTCTGGAATCAGTGTTCTGATGCAAATATCAAGCACCATGATAATTATTACAATACTGTAATTTACTACTGTGTTTACAAAGAATCACAATATAATGCAGCACCTTCACATACACCAGAGGCTTCAGACGCCCTGGCAAGCTGGACCTCCTGAAGCTGGGCTACAGCAAGAATAAAATATTGATATCATCACGGATGTTTATCTCTCTTTCTCATGTACAGGCATTCATTGGGTCTTATTTCACTACATATCTGTAGAGCCCTGCCTTGGGACTGCAACAGTGACAGATGAATGCTTTTCCAGTCAAGACACACTTTGGCACATCTCACCACTCTGCACCATCAGAGGCATCAGGGGAGGCAGCAGAGAGGGGTAAGTTTGTTTTGAAAAAAGGCCCTTCTCCAATATCCTCTGAGCAGTGGGTGCTACTGACACAGAGCTGCCTCACACACTGTCTAGGCATAAACACCTCCCCCCTCTGAATCCAGATATTAAACTGCTCAGCACTACTCAGGTTCTCTTGGAAATTAATGTCCAAGGTTTCTCTATAGCAGTTCCATCTCCTGCTGCATGAACAGAGTAAAAAGATGTAGTAAAAACATGCTGAGCCTGCTAATTTCCTGTGTGCAGCTACTGACAGGAGCTCCCCAACTTCTAGAACTGGCCCATAATATGCCAGGGGGTTCCAGGAGGGCAGAGTGCCCAGTTAGCCCTCCCAAGGCTCTGATTTGGGAGTGTCCCTGGTGTCTGACCCTGCAGGGCTGGGCACGTGTGTGCTCACAGCTGAGTGCAGCACTGTGGGAGCGGAGCCCAGGCCACGGGCCCTGCAGGCTGCATACATATCTACAGCTGCTGAGCCAGGCAAAATCCCAGGAAAGCACCTGCTGCTTCACCTACAGCTGCCAGGGAGGTACAAACAGGCTGAAGCCTGGCTCTGACTGACCTCCCATCCCTCGCTGCTACCAGTGTCTGTCCCGTGCTCTAAGGCAGCATTAAAAGGCAGATGAAATTACTGCTCAAGCAGCCAGTGTCATGATCTCTGCCATCCTGGACTCCAGCTCTGTGTTGTGTGTGAGTAGAAATGCTCTAATTTGAGTGCAATACCCTGTGCCTGCTCACTATAGCACTGCTCTTGCCTTGTTTGTGGGCAAGGCAACACCTCAAGAACAGGAGAGCAACAGCATAAGGGATAGTTCTGAAACCTGAAAACATTTCATTAAACCAGACTGTTAAAATAGTGACTTCATATATTTATTAATGCAACATTAATGCTAATATGTATCATCTCTCTGGCTAGGGGGAATGAATCCTGTCAACTGCCATGTGCCTGCACTCACGGGCCAAAGCTGCAGAATGGATCCTTTCAAGGTGGAGCAGCAGAGAGCAAGTGCATCCTGGCCCTGAGTATAAATCCTGGAGGAGTCCCTACACTGTGCTCCCCCTAATTTCTTAGCCATTAGGCAGTGATTCTTGGAAACATCAGCCTTTTTTAAGCGCGAAGAATCTCCAATCTGTGATGCTCCTGAACACAGCAATTACTTCTTGTAGCATTTTCTCATGGGGTATGGGAGAAGGGCATGAAAACGAGGCCCCAGGTAGATATTCCATTCAAGATTTTCAGGCATTTTTGTGGTCAGGAAGGGAGAGGGAACTCTTGCAGTTTTCCACCAGGCAAGGACAGCTCTCTATGGCCACAGGGCACTGCTTTTAAACCCCATCTCAGTGGAGAGGGCGCAGCTGGTTCTACAGCCTGTCAGAACAGAAGGAGCTTGCTCAGAAAGTTAAGCCCCACCTCGACACAAGCCCAGTGGGGGCAGGTTTTCTTAAGTCCCCCTTGTCCTCAACCCAACAATGTGAGAGAATAATTTCTCTACTACTCTGGCTGAGGGAGAAGGGTGGGATTTGACATCTACGGATGTGACTCGGGAAGAAGTGATGAGAATGCAGCTGCCTCCCCCCGTGCTTCGTTGTTATTCTTTCTCCAAATACAAACTAAATATAACTTTGCCCCATAACATTCAAATAATTTTAGTTACTAGCAGGGATCATGCCTGGAGTTCCAAGGGCCAGGGTGCAATCAGGCTTAAAATATAATTTAAACAATCCAGAAACTACATTTTTCACCAAGTTATTTTCTTGCTTGTAGTTTCCCCATCTGCAAATACATATAAACACAACCAGAAAGAAACCAACAAGCTCAGCCAGATGCCAAGTTTTCTGTTCAAGATCATATAAACTCAGTCAAACATTAACAAGGAAATGCCATGATCACCTCATTTGTTTTAAATATTTCTGCTCATATACATGCAGACAAGTGTGCAGATTTATTTGCCTCATTTACGAATACAAGCAACTGGAATCCCCATTCTGTTCCATTATATAAAAGACAGACCCTACACCTGTCTTACTGAACAGCTGGGCAATTTTCAATTTATATCCACTATCCTACACCACAGAAAAGCCCCACTTGCTGCTCTGCTGCTGACACTGCTTTACTAGCATTCCTGCTCTCCTCCCCAGTGCCTTGGGAAGGGATAGTAGTTGTCATTTCTTGGCAAAAGGAGTTATGTAAAACCCAAGAATGCCTCTTTGCTTTAGCAAATAGCTATTTCCAGGAAGCAGCAAAAACAACTTCTAGAAGTGTATTTAAGATGCAAGAGTGGAATAGCCTGGAGCTTCCTGTCCATATTTCTCACAGACAAAAACACACACACATGTAATTATATTTTCCTGGACTGCACTGCAAAGTTCATGCACTCATTCAACTCATACATGTAGTAAACATGATTTACAGCTCTGTGTGAAAACCCTCTAAATATATGATGTTTTGATAGTGACTCAAAACCCAGCACTATAATTTAGTAACACCTAGCAGTGAAAGCTAAATGATTTCCCACTTCACATTCCTAACTTTCCATGAACTCCTTTTTACTGCTAACCTGGGGAGGAGATACTGCTTCTGCAATTGTTTGGACTTATCCTTGCTATTCCTACAACTGAACTGCTCACTAATATCAAGCTTCACATATGGTGAACGCACCAGCACTGACCCATGTCCTGTGAGACCATTTGCCATCACACAGTTCAAAGTGAACTTTATTAACACATTAAACATAATTACAAAGAGGAAATTCCAAGGAAGGTCAACAAGCCCGGACAGTTTCTTGGAATGGAAAGTAATTTATAATATCCACATACTGTATTGTAAAGTTTATAAAGAAGTTAAATAAGTTTTAAGAGCCCCATGGGTTATGTATATTTTATTATTTAATACCAAACACATTCACTTTCTATGTAGATAAGACTTCTTTTGAAGTTCTGTGTTAGCAAATTAGCAAAGTCATTTACAATGAAGCACCCAAACAACCCATCAACACTTGGAATTAGCATGAGGGGCTGGACTACCACAGACAGTGTATGTCCTGTGAGGAAAATAGAGCTAAGCACAGAAATGTTTCACTACAGCAGTGAGATGAAGGAATTGGAGAGATTACCAACCAAACTGCTCATTTGGTGTAAACACAATCTCTTACACCAAAACTTGAGGCAACATTTGGCCTTCACCATGCTCATCACTGTAAAACCTGAGCTTCCAAAGTCTTTACTACCAGGGTGGTTCACAGCAAAGTGGATTTCCTTTACCTTTCCCATGCTTCAAAATGTACACAGGCAGCTGGAAAGGGCCACCTAAAAACCATGTTTGAAACACACATCCAGAGTTGCCTATCTTGGGGTATCTGCTGCTGCAAAGCTGGGCTGGACAATTCCTGCTTACAACCAGAGTTTAACCTCTTCTACAATAGTTTAACCCTCTCTGCAAGACCAACATGAGGATTATGTAATCACACTCTCTGCATATCATTAATACCATTATTTGTATTGGCATTCAGGCTGTAATGATGGATGAAAGGACAGAGGCCTGGCTCTGCAAGGACAGACTCTACCAAGGAGCAAATCCCACAGGGAAGGCTTTACAGAGCAGTGTTGGGAACAGTTTCAATCAAGAGGAGTAGGTGTTCCTGAAAGAGAGGAACTCTTGGCTCTCTGCACAGTTGGAAGCCATTACACGGAGAGCAGAACTGATAAAAATGCTTTTTGAGAGAGATAAAAGGATGAATGTGTTGCCCATGGATCCCATTAACTAATGGAATAAGCAGTTCAAAGGACTGGTGAATCCAACATCTTTTCATATTTTCAAAACAAAACAGTTTGCATTTCCAAAAGGTATGTGTTAGCCAAGCAAAGTAGGGGTCAGTGTGGGGGTAACTGGTCCAAATGCTTTGGTATGTGACATGAGGAGATCAGATTAGATGAGCTAATGGGTTCTTCTTGGCTTGAAAACATAGGCGCCCACAGACAAAAACAATGCTTATCAAAAACAATCAAAAGATTAAAGAAAAAACCAACAGCATCTCCGTAGAACAAAGACTCTGAGCGAGGAACACAAAAACACCACAAGTATTTGCTGACCAGCCCTGATGGCTGGTCGGGCTTAGATTTGGAAATCATGGACTGTTTGCAGAAGCAAGCTCCAGGCTTGGGGTGCATGGCTCAACCCAACAACCTGATGGAGAAAACAGCTCTGCAGATCCATTTCACAGCAAGTGAAGTGCCATATCTTCTCTTTCTTCCTTTCCTCTGTGGTAGGAGTTGCTTTGCTGATGAAATGGATATTTATTGATAGCACAAAAAGCACCTGCCATACTTTTACATGAGTGATAACTAGCCCCTTGTGTGAAGGCTGCCAGTAAATTTCCTACTCTAGATGTTCCAAAACTAAGAAAACTAGAATATCTGGGAACATGTTCCATTTAATTAAGTGCCCTGCATACACATTTCACTGACATTTAATAAAATAGCTATTGTATGTTAAACAATTGGCACTTGATTATTGCTTAGATTTATTAGTTCAACAACAGTAGATGAGATACGTATCTCTTATATAGTTTCTAAATCCTTTGAGCATATGTTTTCAATAATCAGTTGGTATTTATTTAACATGAAATTACCATCTTATTAAATTAAATGTGCATGGGTGACATTCAATTTCAGTTGTTGCCAAACATTTTTTCAGCAGCAAAAAATAGTAACTTTATCCCTCAGGTTTCGAGGTAGCAAACGCATAGGAGAGTTAGGATTACTTCAAATTACTTTTGAAGAAACAGACTTCATATGCTGGAAAGTTTCTAGCATGGAAGAAATGATATTATTTATTGTTTCTCAAGTGCTGCCAGTGGGATTACTGTGGGCCAAAGGAGAGGACTAATATTTCTACTCAAATGCTAAAATTATACTGATGATGCAGTTCAGGTATGCAGCTCAATGGATAATCAGAATACTTTTTTTAGAGAAGAGATAAGTACAACAAAGGTGTGTTGGCACACACACCCTCACAATCTATCTCTTCCATTCCCATTCAAGAAGGCAAGCCCATCTAAAAAATTTCATTCCTAATTTATTTGGCATTTTTTCAAAAGAAATGGCCTTAAATCATGGCTTCAAGTTTTTTTAAATTAGAAGGGTTTTTTGGCTTTTTTTTTTTTTTTTTTTTTTTTTTTTAAAATTAGTAGGGTTTTTTGGTTTGGTTTTTTTTGTTTTGTTTTTTTTTTTTTTTTTAGTCTGCTATTTCCAGGAAGGACAAGCATAATTCTGGAAGAAAGCTAGAAATCCTCTGGCTTGAGGGAGGGAGGATCCAGAACCCAACTGAAATTCCACAGCCCCAACCTGCTCTCTCCAGACCTAACCCAAACCTCCACCATCTCCACCACAGGTCACAGAGGGACCATTCCTGCCAACAAAAGCCATTTGTTTGCTTCCCATAATCTCTGGGAAACAATTCAGTCAGGCAGCCCTGAATTACCTTCTGGTTGGATCTACCCAAATTTTAACATAAATACCATTGTACTATGCCCTTCCAACTGTTTCCCAGCTATGCAAATCCTGCTTCACAAGCCCAGTGGATTTTCCAGCCAAATCGCCCACATCTTTAAAACTTACAGTAAAACAAACACTCTGCAAGACTCAGTTTAATTCACTTTTTTTTTTTTGTAACAAAACTCCCCTTCGAGCCACCAATAGCAACTACATTCCAAATCCCCAGGCTCCAAAGATAGGTGTTCATTTCTGAGACAACCTTCTCTGATTGTTGTCCCCTTCTTTGTTCCTCCTTCCTGCGGGCAGCATTTTGTCACCTATCCATTTGATCTGAACAGCTCCTAGAAAATAGGATGCCCAAGTTCATGTCTGGTGACACAGGCTCCTCTTGAGCCTTGGTAGTCAATATTTAACCCATCTGAGCACTGTGCAGGGTTTAATAAGTAATTAGACGTTTCCCTTATGGACAGGCTCTTGTGTGAGCATTGTGCAAGCAGGAAATGGCAAGTGTCACTGTTTATGTCTGCAGGAAAACAGAAACCACGATGGTTGACTCTGTGCCATACACGGGAACGATGCAAACACGGACCTTTAAATAGCTGGTTTGCCTTCCTGCTAGCCCACAGCAGCAAGTTTTCAGCCATAGACTGACACAGGAGCCTTTTTCACTTGTATCCAAGGAATTGGTTTTCCTCAAAATATTTTTAAAAACCTTTTTAACCAGAATTCACTCTAAGGTATAAAAGTGGAGAAGACTTTAAACTCTTCCATCCACTGCTGGCTCCTACTGGCCTTTCCCAATACCCACGATGGAAAAGGTATGATTAGTGCATGAAGGACTCAGAAAAAAACCATCTTGAACACTCACTCTTGATCATGAGACTGCCAAAATATCCCTAAGCCTTCTGCTGTTGGGAAACCAGTGGCAGTGCCCTGCATGGCAAGGCTGCTCCCAGCCCTCCCTTTCCTCTGCCCTCGTCTCTGGGGGCTTCTATGTTTGGTCACCACAAAAGCATGGTAACAACTGTTTGATGGTGACCACAAAGAGATAAACATTGTGGTATTTAAGAACTGGAGATATTTTCAGAAGCTTCTCTAGAACAGAAAGCATTTCCAGCTGAATGGCTGCATAGCAGGCTTGGTATGGAG